TAACCTTTATTATTGGCTTGTCTAACATCACGATGACGAGGTCGGCTGACATCCGGACTTACGTGACAAGTTTGTCTGACCTTATCCTGACCGTCGTTATCTGTCTGCCTGACCTCACCCTGATGAAATGTCGATACCCATTACAGGTTTGTCTGACCTTATCCTGACCGTCGTTATTTGTCTGCCTGACCTCACCCTGATGAAATGGGTCGATACCCATCACAGGTTTGTCTGACCTTATCCTGACCGTCGTTATTTGTCTGCCTGACCTCAACCTGATGAAATGGGTCGATACCCATCACAGGTTTGTCTGACCTTATCCTGACCGTCGTTATTTGTCTGCCTGACCTCACCCTGATGAGATGGGTCGATACCCATCACAGGTTTGTCTGACCTTATCCTGACTGTCGTTATTTGTCTATCTGACTTCACCCTGATGAGATGGGTTGATACCCGGCCTAACATCGCAAGTTTGTCTGACCTTATCCTGACTGTCGTTATTTGTCTATCTGACCTCACCCTGATTAGATGGGTCAATACCCGGCCTAACATCACAAGTTGTCTTAACTTATCCTGACTGTCGTTATTTGTCTATCTGACCTCACCCTGATTAGATGGGTCAATACCCGGCCTAACATCACAAGTTTGTCTTAACTTATCCTGACTGTCGTTATTTGTCTATCTGACTTCACCATGATGAGATGGGTTGATACCCACACTAACATCGAAATTTTGTCTGACCTTATCCTGACCGTCGTTATTTGTCTATCTGACCTCACCCTGATTAGATGGGTCAATACCCGGCCTAACATCACAAGTTGTCTTAACTTATCCTGACTGTCGTTATTTGTCTATCTGACTTCGCCCTGATGAGATGGGTTGATACCCGCACTAGCATCGCAAGTTTGTCTGACCTTATCCTGACTGTCGTTATTTGTCTATCTGACTTCACCCTGATGAGATGGGTTGATACCCGAATTTGTCTTACCCACGCTGACGAAGTGTGTGGATACCCGGCCTAACATCACAAGTTGTCTTAACTTATCCTGACTGTCGTTATTTGTCTATCTGACTTCGCCCTGATGAGATGGGTTGGTACCCGGAGTAACGTCACTAGTTTGTCTGACCTTATCCTGACCGTCGTTATTTGTCTATCTGACCTCACCCTGATGAAATGGGTCGATACCCATCACAGGTTTGTCTGACCTTATCCTGACCGTCGTTATTTGTCTGCCTGACCTCACCCTGATGAAATGGGTCGATACCCATCACAGGTTTGTCTGACCTTATCCTGACTGTCGTTATTTGTCTGCCTGACCTCACCCTGATGAAATGGGTCGATACCCATCACAGGTTTGTCTGACCTTATCCTGACCGTCGTTATTTGTCTGCCTGACCTCACCCTGATGAAATGGGTCGATACCCATCACAGGTTTGTCTGACCTTATCCTGACCGTCGTTATTTGTCTATCTGACTTCACCCTGATGAGATGGGTCGATACCCATCACAGGTTTAATCTGACCTTATCCTGACTGTCGTTATTTGTTTGCCTGACCTCACCCTGATGAGATGGGTCGATACCCATCACAGGTTTGTCTGACCTTATCCTGACTGTCGTTATTTGTCTATCTGACTTCACCCTGATGAGATGGGTTGATACCCGGCCTAACATCGCAAGTTTGTCTGACCTTATCCTGACTGTCGTTATTTGTCTATCTGACCTCACCCTGATTAGATGGGTCAATACCCGGCCTAACATCACAAGTTTGTCTTAACTTATCCTGACTGTCGTTATTTGTCTATCTGACTTCGCCCTGATGAGATGGGTTGATACCCGCACTAGCATCGCAAGTTTGTCTGACCTTATCCTGACTGTCGTTATTTGTCTATCTGACTTCACCCTGATGAGATGGGTTGATACCCGAATTTGTCTTACCCACGCTGACGAAGTGTGTGGATACCCGGCCTAACATCACAAGTTGTCTTAACTTATCCTGACTGTCGTTATTTGTCTATCTGACTTCGCCCTGATGAGATGGGTTGGTACCCGGAGTAACGTCACTAGTTTGTCTGACCTTATCCTGACCGTCGTTATTTGTCTATCTGACCTCACCCTGATGAAATGGGTCGATACCCATCACAGGTTTGTCTGACCTTATCCTGACCGTCGTTATTTGTCTGCCTGACCTCACCCTGATGAAATGGGTCGATACCCATCACAGGTTTGTCTGACCTTATCCTGACTGTCGTTATTTGTCTGCCTGACCTCACCCTGATGAAATGGGTCGATACCCATCACAGGTTTGTCTGACCTTATCCTGACCGTCGTTATTTGTCTGCCTGACCTCACCCTGATGAAATGGGTCAATACCCATCACAGGTTTGTCTGACCTTATCCTGACCGTCGTTATTTGTCTATCTGACTTCACCCTGATGAGATGGGTCGATACCCATCACAGGTTTGTCTGACCTTATCCTGACTGTCGTTATTTGTTTGCCTGACCTCACCCTGATGAGATGGGTCGATACCCATCACAGGTTTGTCTGACCTTATCCTGACTGTCGTTATTTGTCTATCTGACTTCACCCTGATGAGATGGGTTGATACCCGGCCTAACATCGCAAGTTTGTCTGACCTTATCCTGACTGTCGTTATTTGTCTATCTGACCTCACCCTGATTAGATGGGTCAATACCCGGCCTAACATCACAAGTTTGTCTTAACTTATCCTGACTGTCGTTATTTGTCTATCTGACTTCACCCTGATGAGATGGGTTGATACCCGGCCTAACATCGACAATTTTGTCTTAACCTTATCCTGACTGTCGTTATTTGTCTATCTGACCTCACCCTGATTAGATGGGTCAATACCCGGCCTAACATCACAAGTTGTCTTAACTTATCCTGACTGTCGTTATTTGTCTATCTGACTTCACCCCTGATGAGATGGGTTGATACCCGGCACTAACATCACAAGTTTGTCTTTATCCTGACTGTCGTTATTTGTCTATCTGACTTCACCCTGATTTGTGGGTTGATCCCGAATTTGTCTTACCTACGCTGACGAAGTGTGTGGATACCCGGCCTAACATCACAAGTTGTCTTAACTTATCCTGACTGTCGTTATTTGTCTATCTGACTTCGCCCTGATGAGATGGGTTGGTACCCGGAGTAACGTCACTAGTTTGTCTGACCTTATCCTGACTGTCGTTATTTGTCTATCTGACCTCACCCTGATTAGATGGGTCAATACCCGGCCTAACATCACAAGTTGGTTTTAACGTATCCTGACTGTCGTTATTTGTCTATCTGACCTCATCCTGATTAGATGGGTCAATACCCGGCCTAACTTCACAAGTTTGTCTTGACGTACCCTGACTGTCGTTATTTGTCTATCTGACCTCACCCTGATGAGATGGGTTGATACCCGACCTAACATCACAAGTTGTCTTAACTTATCCTGACTGTCGTTATTTGTCTATCTGACCTCACCCTGATTAGATGGGTCAATACCCGGCCTAACATCACAAGTTGTCTTAACTTATCCTGACTGTCGTTATTTGTCTATCTGACTTCGCCCTGATGAGATGGGTTGATACCCGCACTAGCATCGCAAGTTTGTCTGACCTTATCCTGACTGTCGTTATTTGTCTATCTGACTTCACCCTGATGAGATGGGTTGATGCCCGAATTTGTCTTACCCACGCTGACGAAGTGTGTGGATACCCGAACTAACGTCAAAGTTTGTCTGACCTTACCTTGATCTTCATTACCCGTTATTGTGACCTTACTTAAAAATGAGTCAATAACCTCTCAAAGGACACTAGTCTGACCTACCCTGCCCAGGTGAGCCAATACCCTCTCTAAGATCCATGGCCTGACCTTACCCCAACAGAGTCAGTCGATGCCACTGACCTTACCCTAACCGAATGGGTCGATACCCAGACAATACTCACTGGTTTGTCTGACCCAGGTCTGATGACATTCATCTGTGGACTGTCGTGATATTGATGAAAAATTGCTGTCTGGGCATAAAGTGCCTTCTCCCTCACTCAACTCTAAGTGACCAAGTTGATCGTGGTCAGACCACAATGATCCCTGGGAAATCCTTGGGAAAGAATGATAGTCCTGTCGGGCATAATGAGTAGATAGAACCTAACTGATGCATATTGAGCGCGGGGTTGAGTCGTTGTTGTGTTGGCCGATGGAGATATTGTCAGCGTTCCGTTACATTTAGATGGGCATTTTATATTTTTGTTGATTGCTATAGACAACCATGTCATTGTGCCAAGTAGACACAATTTATTGATAAAAACGTCTTTATTGTATTGTTATACCTTTTCGTATAGCTCCTTATACCATTGTCAAGTAATTTATATCATCAGCTCATGGTCCTTGGGATTGAATTTATTATAAGCAAATGGTAAATGTTTTAGGGGCCTTTTGTACCCACCGATTTCAGCCAAGGTAAGGTTGGTTTGGTTGTCAGATTGATTAGTTGTTTGATTGGTTCACTGGTAGACTGATTGGCTGATTGGTTGGTTGGTTGGTTTGTTTATGAGTTTAATGACACATGCTCACTTTGCAATATCCAATATGTATGACTGCAGTTTAAAACATGGTGAGGGGGATCTTTTTTCCTTTTTTGGGTTACACCAAAATATTACAACGGATATCAAAATCATACCAGAATGAAGTCAGCCAGGAACCAAACACTGCTAATTTAAGATTCGAAACGCAACAAAGATACACATCTATTACGCATAAACATCGAATACCCAATTCTTGATTGTTGCATTCTTAACATCCCAACATGGGGTATCATTTGTCTGTACTGTTGTATGATAAGATGGTTATGGATGCGAATACACCAATAACCTTTACGCTTTCCTTGCCCCGAACAATTGCATTTATGTGTCAATCATGAGCCTATTATCAATCGTTGTGCGAGATATGCCAATCTTTGAAAATCGTTTGACGTATTATTTCCTGTTTGCAGACGGCTATGCCGAAGCAGATGTAGATCTGAGATGGCTGAATGAGAGGGATGCCGTGTCAGGTGTTGAAAACGTTGATCTCCCTCAGTTCTCAATTGTGGATTACTCCACAGTGGTGTGGGTCGAACGACTGCTAACTGGTAAGTGTTCCCATCACAGGAAATATTGATAGAGTTGTCACAAGTCTTTATCCGTAATCAGTCTACATTAGAACAGACGTTTACACTGCTGGAACATTGTCACGGGGCTTTAGCACTGATCCATCCACAATTAGATAGACCTAGAAGCTGATGGTTCAGACTTTACATGGACAAGGATGACCAAGATGCAAATTTGGATTACTTGGAATAGGCTGTGCTGGGTAAGTGTGTGGTATTTACAGTGCTGTGGAAATGTGACTGCAAACATTCCATATGTAAATACTGGTGTAATCTGATGAGTAGAATTTGCTCAGCTTTCATGGACAAATGAAGGTTCGAACGTTTCTATTGAGTACCTATGTTTGAATATTAATGCATCCTCTTTGGTGTATTATATTTCATATGTTATGTTTTAGAAAAAAATGCACTTCTTATTTTCAAAATGAAAAATACATTGCTGGTGATTTTCTTTCAACTTCTTCACTTAATGAGTTGAAATTGGTTCTGTTTTGCATGTTCTCACCAGGGAAGGTATATTACAATTGTCTGCAATTTTGCCTCGACTTCAACAATCAATGTGTGTTTTATCCTGGAGCTGAATCCTTATGAATGTATAAGAACATGTTTGTTTGTTTGTTTGTTGTTGTTTGTTCATTAGGCCGTGTTCAATTATATTCTTGCTATATGTAAATATTTATATGTAAAGAATCTTGTCTGAACTAGACAATCCAGTGACGAACATCTTGAGCATCGATCTACGCAATGATCACGTCTATCATGTGTATAATAATAATAATAATAATAATAATAATAGAGTGAGTATCATTTAGTTGGATATTCCAAGGGATACTATTCAATATTCACACATATCCGCATCGCATTCATTAAAACATACATCTGAGCGGTTTTGGCTGATTTGAAACTGAGGCTTAGCCGCGTGGTTAAATCACTTGCACATTTTGCCCAGGACCCTGGTTTTAATAATAATAATTGTCCATTTGTATGGCGCCGTTTCCACACACTAGTGTATGCTCATGGCGCCCCGTGTGTACAGCTAAAAAACTGCAGCAATTGTACAAGTCATTCGTAATATTTCCGGAAAAGATGGGTCTTCAATGAAGATTTGAATAAGTCATGGGAGGTTGCTGTTTTGATGGTTATGGGAAGACTGTTCCACAGTGAAGGAGCAGTATAGCTGAATGATCTGTGACCATAGTTATTGAGATGGACATGGGGTGTTGTTAGGAGGAACTGTTGGCGTGATCTCAGTTGTCGTGGTGGTGTGTACTCTGAGATGAGTTCAGAGAGGTACTGCGGCGCTAGGTCATGTAGACATTGGAACACAATGGCCAATATCTTGAATTCGATTCTGGGTTGGATAGGGCAACCAGTGAAGAGACTTTAGGACAGGGGTTATGTGAGATCTTTTAGATGTTAGGTATACCATGCGGGCTGCAACGTTTTGGATTTTCTGGAGTTTTGTCAAGTGTGCAGAGCTGACTCCAAACAGAATGCTGTTTGAATAGTCCAGTCTCGATAGAACGAGGGACCTGACGAGAGTATGGGCTGTATCTGTTGTTAAATTATGACGAATGTTACTGATAGCTCTCAGATGGAAGAAGCAGATTCTTGAAAGATGGTTGATCTGAGCATCAAGTGATAAGTCCTGGTCTATGAATACTCCAAGGTCTTTCACGGATGGAGCTAGAGTAATTTCTGCATCGGCTATTGTGATTTTCTCAGTCATGATTTTGTTCAGACGATGTTTATTGGCGACAAGCATAGCTTCTGTCTTATTATCGTTCATTTTGAGCATCATAGATGACATCCAGGATTTGATGGACTTTGTGCAGATAGCTGTCTTCTCTACGGAATGTTGAATCTGATTCAGAGCAAAAGAGTCTACCAGCTTAGTATCGTCTGCAAACGAATGATGAGGAGTGTCATACTTGTCAGATATGTCGTTCAAGGGTGTCATGTAAAGGAGGAAGAGGATGGGCCCCAGAACAGATCCCTGCGGAACTCCACATGTGAGATCTGCTGTTGTGGATGAAGACTACTTTATCAAGACTCTCTGAGTCTTTTATATCCAATCCAGTTCCTAATATCACCCCCTTTATTATACTGTAAATTCCAAAGACACCTTCAGTCATCACTATTAAACGGTGATCCATTCATGTTATTTTCATTCCAGTTTGCCCGTCCAGTGCAATCTGTTTCGGCGAAATTGACACTGGTGATGTTGTATATTTAGCATTCTTACTTTATGATGTCCAGAACACGGCATTCTTGACCTAACTGACCACAACTGCGTCATGTGTTTTTGATAGTTATACAGACACAGTCAATGAAAATAGATTCCCCCATTTGCTTCTATGGATTGTGTTATGATCCTTGTTTTGGAAACTATCCTTACACTAAAAAAAGTGTTTTGATGCATACAGAAATGCCAGATCCCTTTAACCATCCGAATCCAGATCCTGTTATGATAAGTTCAAACAAACGTTAGAAAAGGTCGGGGTTTTAGTGCTTTGTTATTCATCCTTCTTGAACAAAAATTTAAAAGAAAATATACATTTTACGCCTTAGAAAATTGCTATAATTCTAGGTGGTTATAATGCATCTTCTAGAATGAATTTGCTATTGTATTCGGGACATCTTTCGCGATTAATTAGGTTTCTGTTTTTGGGAGTGTGTCCGAAAGCGTTTACTTCACTTTTAGCAATATTCAAACCATATTCTTTTGCACATATTGATCAACGTGGAGACTTGAACGGAGAAATATGCTTCAACTACAAAGCTACCACTCATCTTTGTGTTCTAATGTTCCTTGACGGTTTCAAGTTGACTGAGGGTATGCTACTGATATAAGTCCATCTTTGGCGATTTATAACTGTTCCTCATTTAAACGGATTTTATGAGAGAATATATTTCCAACGATGCGCTGATGAAAACGTGTCCAATGTGCCTCAAAACAACCGTTGCCAAATCGATCGTCCTTCAGATTTTCACCAAGATGTGTCCTTGATTACAATAAATCTCACAATTTTGAGAAGAACGTGGGTTGAAATCAAAACATTCTTCCATTTTAGAACATACTTCCACAGAACAGATTCGGTCAATACCATTTAAAGGAGCTCGGCCCGCAAGCTTCCTCTTGTTCAGAAGCCCTTTACCACGCAAGAACAACGAAAATGCAATTAGGGCCAATGGCTGTTCTTCTTCGGAAGCTGCGGTCATCATTCGATATTCTCTCCACTGAGTATGATGTGAGGCTTTGTTACGGGTCTTCTTGGAAATATTGACATTCGCAAACAATTCTTTAAGCAGGTCACCTTTTTACCCCCGTTCTCCCTCTACTAATGTTGATCTTTTCAATTGCTATCCCCTTAGTTTTCCGAGAGACTAATTTCACATTTGGTTGTTTTATATTGATTATCGATTCCCTAAAAATCTTGTTACAGTTTTAGAGACCGCATTTACACATCTCGTGGAAGAGGCATACAATGCGTGTCCTCTTCTGAAGATTCTTGTTCTTGAAAGCATTCATCAACAATGGCGACAACACTGTTTTGGCCTCTGTGCTGCTTTTATGGAGGTTCCAGCACAACGTTGCATTTGATTGGATACAATGTGGTAATGATAGGTCGGCATCTCTAAACGTTGAGCCCCTCCTATCTCAACAGCCTGAAAACCCATTTCACAAAGCTTGAGGCATGTTTCTGTTAAAGGGGGAATCGATTCCGGCTCTAACCAAGGGTCGGTGTTGTTCCGTTTACGCAACTATTTTGGTTACAGCGAATACCAAACGAATGTTTGATCTATTCTATAGCAATATTGATAAATTTCCTTAGCCGAAATTAACCCCGTTGGCAGGCCTTCAGAAGAGGATGCAGTCTGATTGAGCATAGACATTATCTGATAAGTGGACAAGAAAATTTCTGAATATGCAAGCCATGCAAAGTGGCTTACAAAATGCTCTTTCTGAAAATTTACCGAATACATCCTTACATATTTATAATGACATTCTCTTAGTCATGATGATGGTGATGAGATGCAGATTAAAAATGTCATTAGCACTTTCAGAGTTTCCTGTTTTCATGCTGTTTCTTAAGCAACAATTACCTTTTGTGCATTATTGTGTCCCTTAACCGTTGCAGGATCCAGAGTCTGTGTTCGAATCCCCTTGAAAGCTCTCGGTATTTATCTTTCACGTTAAGCTGGAATGCCTCGTAAATAGTTACCCCTGTCCAATCATTCCCTCGACCGGTAATAACCCTACCGGTATCCAAGTATGTTGCTAACGATATCGAAATTGTACGTTTAATTTATCATGTTGGTAGAAAATGAAATGCTTATGTTCACTTTTCTTCTCTTATACTTTGGGGTTCAGTCTGTTTGCATTACTAAGGTTAAATACTTTTGAGAATCAGTGTATATATTATTGATAACTTGATTTGGTTTTACCCACCTGAACTTGAAATTAAAGGGAAAAGTGGGACTGCCTCAGCTGTTTCATATTTAGATCTATGCATGAAGATGCAGTGACAAAGAAATCTCCACAAAGCTGTATGACAAAAGGGATGATTTCAACTTTCCAATAGTCAGCTTCCCTTTCATGCCAAGCAATATTCCAACAGCTCCAGCCTTTGGTGTTTACATTTCACGACTTTTGAGATACAATCGAGCGTGCTCATTTTGTCAGGATTTCAAAGAGGGTCATGTCACTCTAGCTTAGAAGTTGTTTGATTAAGGTTACAACATTCAAGGCCTCAGCAAAGCTTTCAAGAAGTTTGATGCATCAGTGACAAAAATGATGTCCGATGCAATTCCCTATTTTGATTTATACCATACGTTCCCGAATTATTTCAGGTAAACAAATGACTAGATTTAGCATATGTTTATGACGGGTGCCATCGGTGGGGCAGGATACGCTCACCTTTTCGCGAACACCTGGTATCATCACTATTTCATAAACACATGCTCTCTCATCATTACATGGTGACAATCACTGGATTGTCTGGTTCAGACTCGATTTCTTTACAAACAACGTCATACAGTTGTAATACTGCTGAAAGAAATATCTGCTCATAAAATATTCACAATTCTACAATCGACTCTGCTTTGGGCTGAGATTTCTTATGAATGTAGAAACGGTTTTGAGATGCTCTAACTCTTTGAGTCAGAAAATAGTTGAAAGGGACATTGGGTTGCTGTACCTCATACCTTCAAAAGCTCTAATTATAGCACAAGTCTAAAAATAACGCACACCACTGCCCCCACAGTGTTATACACTTGGAATACTGCTACACAATAACACTGCCAGCTAACACAAACATTAAGATTGACTGAAACGTACTTGATCCTGACAGTCTGTGATGCATGCATGATGTGTTAATGGCGGATGGAGGGGAGGACATGCTTAACCTTTTGTTATCCATTCTTGCTATTTCTACGGCTATTTTCTCTTTTTACAGCCATTGGATTCACAGATATCTTTTTGAGATTCACTTATTTATGAGACACTGTGTATTTTTACGCCGCTTTTAGCACCATCAATATCACAGCGGGGGACACCAGAAAATGGCAATCTAAATATTTGGGTAATCGAACCCGGGTCTTCGGCAAGACGACGAACACAAGGCTACCTCATCGTCTATTTTATAGTCATAAAATATACTCTCCCAAAAAAAAAGAAACGCATCATGAAAATAGCAATTTCATGTAGCAATGAATTAAAACGTGTTTCATTTTACAAAAGGTTTTGCTCTGTTAATAAGTCCTATGGTGTTTATGTTTTGAAACAGCACAACAAAACGCACCATCCGTAAAATACCCGTATTTAACAGCATGATTTTCAATTCCGGCGTGTAGTGTCACAGAATACACAATTCACATGCAATGCACGTGGAAGTTGGGGATCAGATAGTCTCGATGATGGGTATAAAAGGTTGATCGCTGTCTGTCGATTATTCACTGTATTTGGAATATTGTTGACGAACGCAATATTGTTGACGAACGCAAAATGCCAGTCTCAACGTGCACGTCTTTCACGTGAAGCCAACCGTCATATCGCCATTGGTTTGCTTCGAAGCTGGCCAGTCTCAAGACGTGCAGTTGCCCGACGCATGAATGTTCACCAAAGCACCATTTCACGGCTTCGGGAGACGATATCGCCGGCAAAATGCGGTAGACAGATGCCCCGTTATGATGTGGGGAGACCTCGAGGAGACCACAACCTGACAGCGCAGGATCGCTACGATCCGGGCCCACATCAATCATTGATCGCCATTGTTTCGAAATGCCAGGCAGCACGTCACACTAGAGACTTCCTCCAGAACCACAACATCAATGTGCTCCCCTGGCCCTCAAGATCACCGAACTTAAACCCGATCGAACATCTGTGGGATGCCCTGGACAGACGGGTGCGACGCCGTAACCCTCAGCCCCAGACACTTCAGCAACTCGCACAGGCAATACAGGCAGAGTGGGCTGCGATTGGGCAAAACGAGATTTTGAGACTGATTCGTTCGATCCCGAGGCGATGCCGTGCAGTTCTGGATGCCCACGGTGGTCACACGAGGTATTGACTTCAGCGCAACCACACGTCTCAATGTGACACTCAAACTGACTTTCCTCGAGTTGGTGCCAAAGACGGATCGGTCTGCATTCCCAGTGTGCAATTTCGCTATATTTCATGGACTCATAAAGCCTACAAGATGTTTCAAAATAAACATAAAAATACAGTTGAAATTCATATATGCGTTTCTTTTTTGGGAGAGTATATTATTGCTCCAATACCTCAGAATAGTTGAAGAGTGAGACATTCAAATCACAACAGTAGTGGCAGGGTTGTGTAAAGAAACGTTTTGAGTACATTGAAAGCTAATTTCAAACTGTGGAAAGAGATTTGTTTCATGTATGTTTTTATCACCAAAGGAATTTATAGCTTTTCTCAAGTGATATTCTTTGTACACAAGTTTTATCATTTTGGCATTGTGATGACATATTCCAATTGCTGAAGAGAAAAGTGTAGTTTTCCTTTCGGCATTATGATAGAAATAACATAATGTCTGTCACAACAGTGCGTTTGTATGTTCAACCTTTTTCATTCATGGTGCATTGTTATAGTCTGTTTCAGGTTGCTGTTCATTTATTTCTATTCAATGTGACGTGTTTCACTTGGCACAATGATGGCAAAAACATGAAACCTGGTACAATGATGGTTTCATTTTTAATCCTCTGTGATATAGTCTACTTCATGTCAGTGTGTGTTCATTTCTATAATAATAATAATAATAATAATGTGTCCATTTATATAGCGCAAAACTCCACACTAGGTATGCTCATAGCGCTAACAATCAAGGCACAGCACATTATTACCCCGGATAACCCAAGCTACACGAACTTAAAGAAATCCGATTGTTTCATATTTCTAAAGTATAATTAATGTGTTCTGACATGCTTTTGATTTTATTTCATTAGTATATTAATCAGAAAATAATTATATTTATTCACTCCAGATTTCTTATTCTGCAGATATTTTGGCAGTTTTGATAGCATGTTTCTAGTTTAGGTGCTGCGTTTTTAAATGGGATGATACTGATGCATTTATCTTAATTAATAATCATTATTCCAAATGATTATATCAAAAACGACACACCCGTGAAGTCCTTGGTTAGAATTGGTCTTCATGGCATCGGCCCATATTTGTCTTCAGAGGAAACGTTGGTGATTTGGCTCGTTGACGTGATTGTCATGTCATCGAGATCGATGCTCATGACATCAGTCACTGGATTGTCTGGTCCAGACACGATTATTGACAGACCGTCGTCATATAACTGGAACATCTTGGCGTTAACAATAAGAAAACTCAGTACAACGTTGGGGATGCGATATTACATTGCCAACAACTGAATGCTTTACTCTACTGATTGACTCCACAATCCATCATTGTATGACCCGATCTGAGATTAATCATCACTATACACTGAGGAAATTCATTTCTTTACAGCACGCTGCTGGAGATTATCTTATTATTTTCGGATTGTGGAGTAAACTCGTTTCTTATTACCCTTAGAGCATCGTGTTATCGTGTGCTACTAATGTTGTCCTGCAATGTTTTCATGCACCGAGATTGCCCTATCTCGGGTAATGAGATGTCTTTCATGTCAAAATGTATGTATTTGCCTTTCTCAACACTGTCATTATCTTTGGAAATATGATATGCGTATAAACCAAAGAATACTGTTTCACGGCGGTCTTTACATGATAATTTGGAATAGGTCGGTTTCTGGTTTAACGCAGCACTCAGCAATATTCCAGCTATACGGCGGCGGTCTGTAAATAATCGGGTCTGGACCAGACAATCCAGTAATCAACAGCATGAGAATCGATCTACGCAACTGGAATACGATGACATGTGTCAACCAAGTTAGCGAGCCTGACCACCCGATCCCGTTAGTCGCCTCTTGGGTGGCTTGCTGAACACAATTCTAACCCGGATCTTCACTTCAGTTGTTGATATAATGAGCGTCAAATTGAAGTTCCACGTCGTTTCATTAAACGTCTTCAACTTTGGGTACCTGAGTTGATGAAGTCGTGTAATCGATTTTGTTGTAGAAGCCCATTTCTGGTGTTCCCCCTCGTGACATTGCTTCCATATTGCTAAAAGTGACTCACTCACTGTTGTAATCTTTCCAGGTAACTACACCCGACTTTCCTTGCACTTCAACCTCCAGCGCAACATCGGATACTTCATCTTCCAGACATATCTTCCATCCATCCTGATCGTCATGTTGTCCTGGGTATCCTTCTGGATAAACCACGAGGCCACATCGGCCAGAGTAGCCTTAGGTAAGACCCTCCTTTACCAATGTTTGACCATTAGAAAGAAATGTACATAAGAAATCGCCATTGCAAGATGTATTAAAAGCATGTGGTTATAAATTACCATGAAATAGTGATGGAAGTGGCAGCTCCCATGGACATGTGTTGAAATTCATCTGAACAAATGAAGGGGCGGTGGGATAGCCCAGTGGTTAAAGCGTTCGCCCGTCACGATGAAGACACGGGTTCGATTCCCCATATGGGAACAATGTGTGAAGCCCATTTATGGTGTCCCCCGCCGTGATATTGCTGGAATATTGCTAAAAGCGGCGTACAACTCAACTCATTCGCTCACTCTGAACAAATATAGTTATGACTGCGCTGGTCAAAATTGGAAATGTTGCACATTTGTCAGTCACATTCTTTCAGTTCTTTTTAATTTGGTTTTGTTTTCTTTCGTTTTTTTGTTTCGTGTCTGTTGTTTTAGATGGGGCTGTTTAAGGAATATACTTTTGGGCAAGAGGTATTTGACATCTTCACGAGTACATGAGTGAGCTCCGCGTTTAAACATTAAATCGATTGAAAACATTTCATATCCGGATCTTTGTGATGTGTGCTGACATTAGAACAGCTGAGAAATAAACATGACTTAAACGGGGTTTCGTTGCTGTCTTTCCAAAACTCATTGCCAGCATGTAACAAAAGTGATATTAACGTTTAAATGACATCTTTGTACATCTGTGTAGAAACACCGGCACAATTGTTTTGGCAGTTTGGCAGTTTTTCATACCACAGATATCTGTGAACCAGTGAGGATGCGTGAAAGTGTTGGTTTATGCCATAAGTATAACTGATTTGGGAAATTTGTCGGACAGATGCTCTGAAAGACACCTTGACTGAATTAATTAGTTTAGTTGTTGACAGTTCAGATTTCGCTTTTGTTTTAATATTATGACAGCGACGAATTCTTTTCCATGGCCAAAACAAATATCTCCTAAAAGCAAGGTCTATTGTGCGAAACTAAAAGGTATCATGACCTCGGGTTTTGCGTATCCTGCCCACCCATCAAAAACACATGCAACGTCAAGGAAAGGATTGTTTCCTTGAGCATTTTACTGCACGTTTCACCCTTGTCTTCTAAACACTATACATTCTAAACCTTCTGATTCCTATATTCTTATTCAAATATATTTCTTTATAATCATCTAACCAGATCCGAATCCAAACCATCTTTTCCTAAAGCTTTACACGTGTACGCTGCACCCTTGTACTCTAATTGCTAAGAATTGTCATGCTTTCTGGCCATTTGTTGTTATTCAAATATTTCCCATTATAATCTTGTAACCAGATACGTGTTGATGCTTTGAGCAGCATAATACCCGGGTAACTGTACTTCATAGGGAGATGCTTTTTCGAATATGCTTCTTATGATTCGACACGTCCTAGCTTTCGGCTGTACATGATTAAGTGTATTTGTAAGGGGAAAGCATGCTCCTTTAATCCTTAGAATTTCCTATTTCGTAAATGACAACAAAAGCGCGCTTCGCCTATATTCCCTTAAGCGAAAACGTTAACACGATTTTCTTGACAAAAACTGCTATTTTTCTTCAAATCCACGACAAAACGCGTTAAATTAACAATTATTTGGATTGAATTACGTGTTTGACGTGATAAATGAACACCTGACTCTAGCTGCGAGCAATGAACGACTTCTTTTTTTTAAATCGTAATTACAAAACAATGTTTTTTAAGAAATATCAATGAAAACTGATCATTTGGGTAAGATTATCACTCTTACGAAGTGCGCGTGGTTCACGTCTCTGACGTGAATGGATATAGATTTTGTTTCGAATTTATACCAAGAGAAATCTCTCAATCCTTTTCTCTTTCGGATATTTTTATAATATGTTCTTAGTCGATTCATTGAATGATTGTTTTTGCTCTCTCATGGTTCCGATTTGATGTAAATTCCACCAACACATTAATAGGGCATGGTTTTGGTCATCCGTGTTACATATTGATGGCTGGCATGGTTACAATGCCTGCGCCTCTCTCTAAGTTTCATCCATATTCCATACACGCTTCTTAGAGTGGACGCCGAAGACAGGGGTTCGATTCCCCACATGGGCACAAGGTGTTAAGCCCATTTCTGGTTTAGCCCGCCGTGATATTGCTGGAATATTGCTAAAAGCGTCGTAAAACTAAACTCAGTCAGTCAGTCAGTCTTAGAGTGGATAAATGGTAAGAATTATAATGAATGTTTTTTTTACACAAATAGGAATAATGGATATTTATTGTTATGCATTTTTGTGTTTAAAATTACGTTTCCGAATTGTTTATCTTGTGATGTGTTTTTCATGTAATAGATGAATCATTTGCCAGTATCATATGACAAATCATATTATTAACTAAAACTCCTGTTTTGTGCCAGAGATAGATCGCATAACTTTATCCCATTTTAAACATTTAAATGTTACTTTTTCGATCTTATTGACGGATTACTCATCGAAGTGTGACATTTTTAATATATCTGCAATCCCTGTTTTCAGAAGAAAAAACAATGAGGAACAACAGTGTAGCATTAATATTTCTTCAGCTTTCTCTTTGACCTTCACCCAGTGCCGAAATACACGTTGACCTTCACCCAAAACCGACGTTGTTCATCGCAGACATGTTGATTGCAGATTCATTACAATAGGAAAAGAGTCAGGGATTGACCACTGGTCGAATGTGACGTAGAGTTGCGTCCCTTAGTTGTACCGGGATGCACTGTTCATTGGTTCCGATCCCACATTAGCAACAATTTTGACTCATAGTCTGGAAGCATCCCTACCATGACTTCTACCAAAATGGCAGGACATTCAAGACGCATCACGTTAGACTTTTCTTCCACATTAAGATGAATTTGAAAGATGTAATGAAGCTGATATTATTATACTCAATTTCAAAAATTAATATTTTGTTAGATAATTTATTAAATTAAAAGTAGTTTTCTTAATCTTTCATTTAAATGTTATACAGGAAAAATGAACTGTCCCTCTGTCAAGACGACGCCAAATCAAATTTGAATGCATTAATGTCAAGTGTGATGCTTTGCAATTAACATAAAATCATGAAATATTCAAAAATGGTATTTTTTCCATACAGTTGCAAATATTGACTTATAAAATTTTAAGAGGAAACATATATTTTTGTCCTCATTTGATCTTTCTAATTGCTTTAGTCAAAATGATAATATGTCGATTTCTGTATTCGGTTGTGAAGTTGGAACAATTGTGATTGCTCTTATGTAACGATTAATGTTATTTACGTGCAATTTACCGATCACGTGCAATTGTTTGGTCTGGTGTCAGAAGTGATCATAAAGATTTTCTGGACAAATAGAGTTGGAAATAGAAGGCACAGTGGGGTATTATAAATGCAAAACATTAAACCAGAGAATAACCAGTCTGAACGCCATGTAATCAAAAACATTTAATATTGGGTGTACAAGGCAAAAAGGCTAGAACACACATAGATGACTGCAAGTCTGTTTCGTTTGTTTGTTGTTTATATATTAATATTGTTGTTTTATTAATATTGGTGTTTATATATTAATATTGCTGAGTGCGACTCTTGGTTTCGACTGATCCCGGGTTGTTGATACCAATTGTAACCGGATAATTGTCACTGAAAACTGTTATCATTGCATCACTGAATCACTGGGAACCACTGAATTATCTGAATCGATCACTGAATTAGTGTTCAAAATATTTAGTCTTAAAGAATTCACTGAAACCAAAAATATTTTCAGACCTTCCAGACAAAGGTTTTCAGGCATGAGCAAGGATATACAGCAAGCGGTCCTGAAAGATGCTTAAGCACATTTTGGATTGGAGATGTTCCACAATCTTCGGGTAGATAACAATACAGAATGAGTCAATATTGTTTTACGCCGTAGCAATCAATGTCCTCCACTTCACTTGGTTTCAGGGCGGTGGGGTAACCCAGTGGTAAAAGTGTTCGCTCGTCACGCCGAAGACCTGGGTTCGATTCCCAACATGAGCACAATGTGTGAAACCAGGAAACCCATTCCTGGTGTCCCCCGCCATGGCATTGCTGGAATATTGCTCAAAGCAGCATAAAACCATACTCACTCACTCTCTTGGTTTCAGGTATCACAACTGTGCTCACCATGACAACCATAAACAACGGCGTGAGATCGTCCCTTCCACGTATCTCGTATGTCAAGGCTATTGACATCTACCTGGTGATGTGTTTTGTGTTTGTGTTCGCGGCCCTTCTGGAGTACGCTGCGGTCAACTACACATACTGGGGAGCCCGGGCCAAGAGGAAAGCCAAGCGGCTCAGGGAGAGGTCCTTCAGACAGAAGACTGACGGGGAAGTCATGGTAAGGACGTTGTTCCGTTACGCGGCAACCAAAGTTAAAACAAAGCGTGTAGACTATTTTTACCCGAAAGGTTATGACAAAGCGAGATTAATTTTCACCGATTGCATTTCCATAGTATAAGACAATGTATAAAACACTGCTCTATTTTTAAGTCACCCACCATCCGTTATGCTTTCCTCATGCTTATCCTCATTGTCATCCTCATCCAACCCCTCTGTTTACGCACGTCACCCTCTCACACTCGGAAATGTCTCCAAATTGGCTTAAATCTGTCTTCAGTGTCATATGTTTAATACGTTACGGAAGCTCTGAGTGTTTTGACAGTAAGCGTATTCTTTTTCACACGGAAATTTCCATCTACCGTAATCTCTATTAGACATTGAATAATATATTTATTATATAGAGCTTCCGATTTATATGGATAACCATTCTTCCATTTTTTGTGTTTCTAATCTGAGGTTTAAATTGTTTAATATCCATTGGTAAACGTATCGAGGTTGTAGATCGTGAATAAAATGATCTTGCATATTGTTTGATGCCGAGCTCTGCAATAAGGCTGTGTGTAAATCATTTCCCTTGCTATAGCTAATCGCCTACTAATTGTCGATATGTCCTTGTATAGAAGTGCATTGTATGGATATTTAACAATAGCTATTGTCTTGTTTACTGGGTGCATCTAGTTTTGTCAAATAACAGATATATATCGTTTCATCGCTTCTTTGCTGCATTGTTATGTTATGACATTAATGAATAATAGGATCTAGCGGCGAATATCCGATGATTTTGATGCGGCATTGTGCTTTATATATCGGAACAATACTATATTCACGACGTTCGCTGAACATTGTCAAAATATGAGGAATTTCATTAATGTCAGAAAACTGAAATCATTACATCATTAATTTCTTTCTCCAAAAATGGCAGCCTGTACACTCTGGACTGTCGGTTAGTCTTTCAGATATACTTACTCGCCCTGCTACCCATCAGATGAGACAACCTCAGCTGTCAGTGGATGAAATTATAAGACTGACTGAGTTTGGTTTTACGCCGCTTTTAGCAATATTCCAGCAACATCACGGCGGGGGACACCAGAAATGGGCTTCACGCATTGTACCCATGTGGGGATTCGATCCCGGGTCTTCGGCGTGACAAGCCAACGCTTTAACCATTAGGCTACCCCACCGCCCCTGAAATTATTAGAAACATGATCAAGATGTGTAAGCGCACTATCATGCCAAATACTTACTATTATCTTAATTACAACATTCATCGACAAATAGATGATCTCAACAGAAAGGAATACAATGATAGGATGGTCTAAGTTTTTCGTATATAATCAGACATTTATAAAGGAATTTTTACAATGGAAGATACATAATGTAGTGAATAGTGACTTGACCAATTCAAAACTGGCAGTGGTGACACTACTCTTGTGATGAAGCCGATTCAGAACATGTTTCCAATTGCTAAAAGGTCTTTCAAGTGTCAAATACTTGGGATTTCATTTCCAGGAACTGTCTGGAAATGATGCTTAAAAGCAGGTTCGGTAAATCAATAGATTATTCCAAGGACCTATAACTTTTTCTCTGAGCACTGTGACCGGTGTTGTTGATTTATGGCGTTTTAAGTGGATCTCCTATCGAATAATCTTGGTGTTGCTGCGGGGTTATCTCAGTGAATCAATTACCTGGTCCTCTGGCGAAAATCCGTCATGCCTAGCATACAAGAGTTATCAAATATCAAACGGACAATTAATCTCTATCATGGGCTTCCTGCGTATCAATCGTAAATTTAAGACAGCTCTTCCTAAACAATCTGTAAGATCTCAAGTTGTGAAATAAAATAACTCAAACACATAAACTGATCCGAGTTAACGCGAAATGCCTGACGTTGCTGTCTCCCTGTCTGAGAAGGAACATACACTGTTTTCCTTAAAGCAGTTATCTCCCCCTGTGTGTTGTTTTGGCAAGCGTTGACTGGGAGACGTAATTCTACGTTACGCTGGCAGCACATTACTTGGTCGTCAACACTGCAAATAAAACGCCAAAGGAATTTATATGAGTACGCATTCGTTTTTACATCATCAACTCTATCTTTGATTTAACCTGCGGCCTTGTCTGTCCCCTGAAGTTAAGCATCGCCTTTGTTGAGAAATTTAGCTTGTTTTTTAAATTGAAAACAAATAGCATTTCAAAGAAATTAAATGGATGTCTTTTCTCGCTTGTGGTAAAACCAGCCAGATGATTTCTGGAAGAATACACACTGATAGTTATTCCTAGTTTTAACGTTTCGTTTCTCGGTTGGAGAATATTGAGCATGAAATACGAGATAATTTTGCCGCAATGAGCTGGTACATTTGTCAGTAATTTCCACTTTAATTGTAATCTCATCATCCCGCATTCTCGATCATTTTAATGAATGAATTTTTTTTTTCAAATTGAATTCAAACACTAATTATAGCTCACATACAACCCGTGGAGTTGTTTACGTCAGAGGCGATCACGTGACCATATTACTTCGGACTACTTGACGGCCATTTTGAAATTATTCTAAACGAAATTCGCAACTTTTTTCACTCTTTGTCGAGCATGAATAAATTCTGTGTCACTCAAGCTCTCAAGCGAGAGTGTTCTGAAAAACCTTGCCTCCACGCTGTCGTTTTCACACATAAATCAGGTCTCTGGCACCAATGGGAGGCAAACCAACGCTCTGGTTTGATCCAATCAACCGTATTTCACTCGGTTATCTCCATTCAAAGCCATGACGCTTTTACAAAAATTCCTTAGATCATGTTGGGATTTCGTTTTTGCCTGATTTATCGTGTACTTTAAAAGATGAAATCTTATTTAAACAAGTTTCAAGAATTCCATAAAATAGGCTTCGTGGTGTTTTTGCTGTGCCGTGGAAGGACTGCACATTTTTATTCCTGAACTTTACGACCTAGTTTACAGACGTGATACCGTCTTTAAATGCACAAAACGTTTATCGCATTTTTTATTAGTAATGAACCAAGAGATGCTGTGTCAGCAAATTATCCCTTGTGATAATATTCGCCTTGTAATCGATTGTTAATTGATTGGGCTTGCACACAAGAAGAGCTATCGTTCATGACCCTTGGTTCTGTTAAGATCTTGATGCTTTGTGACAATATTTCTGGATTCGGTTTTTGTTTCTACCAGTCGCAAACCAATAATAGTCTTCAGGAGTCATTCAGATCTGCAGTTTCTCTTAACTGGACAAATCATTGTTTTGATTAATCAAAGAATCAACGATTACTTTGTGCGAACTGTCGTGATGTTTCCAAAGTGATGTTACGGCTAGGATGACGGATGGCATGAACCAATTCCACTATAACATAAAAGAATGCTAATCTCTGTGCTTTGGTATCGGTACCAGTAAAAATATATCCGAACATTAATATAACATGACGTGCAATTTTATGAATAGCTGCAACTCCAACTTAAAGGAACTGTATTTCTGGCGCCACGGTCACCAAATCCCAAAATATTAAAGCATATACAGTCCTTCGATCTGAGGTGGTTTCCCCTGTACTCCTAATACAAATAGGTAATAATTACAGCCCTGTGATATTTGATCGGGATCAGTTTTGTTACACCTATAAATTTATTTGCGCTTTCTATGTACCCATTGCCTGAAATCAACTACAGTGATCAGTCACTCCCACACGTAACACTATCGCAATCCTGTTCAACTAGATATGAACGTAATTAATTCGTGTTTGTTTCAGAACAACACCTATGACGCTATGGAACTGAAGGAGATCCGGATGTCCCCTGTCATGGGGATCAGAAACAACCAAACCTTCACTGCAGACGTCGAGGCTGAAGGAGCAGAGCCTCCCAATCTTCGCATGGCACCTTCAATTCCAAGAACGTATGTTTCCCATGGTTACCTGCCCAGCAATCTTGTGCGCAGAAGGAATAGCAACTCCCAGCCAAAGAAGAGGCGCCTCTTTTCAAATTTCAAGCAAAAGGCGAAGTCCATCAAGGTGAAAATACCCAGAGTGCAGGACGTGAACACCATTGACAAATATTCCAGGCTTATGTTCCCGTTGCTGTTTTTAGCTTTCAACGGCACCTACTGGGTAGTTTACCTTTTCGTGTGACAATTTGCATGATCCTGATGAAGGTCAGTGGATGATGATGATGTAGATGATGACGACGATAATGACGGTGAAGATGATGGTGGTGGTGATGATGATGATGATGATGATGATGATGATGATGATGATGATGATGAATATTGTTGTCCTTGATACTCTCGCATTGAAAGTACCAGAAGAACCCAGGAAGGATTCATTTTTGAAGGGTTAGGATTGTCTCGTGGACCATTTAGCACCAACGCTCGAAGCGAACTTCAATCATAAAACACTGTTTGCTGAGGTTCACCTCGATGTTTGAGAAGTACTGATGGAAGAATGTCACCCACTGTATTCAGTGAAAGCAATGAAGAGCCGGCACAAAGGAAGCATCGTCAGTCGGCTGTAACGGAGTTTCAACAAACATTAGCCTTCCCAAACACCGGGAGAGTTGTGCTGTACAAAGGAACGACGATGCCGACGTTAATCCCAACAACGGCAACTGGATGAACTCATGAATAGGTTTTGGATCAACGTGTATCTTGGTGAAGTCTTTAACGAGGAAGTGCTCATAATAGGGGGTCTGTATCACAATAGTTTCACAGACGTTTCAAAATGCATGTGTCGGCAGTTTTATCAAAATGTGTGAATGTAAGATGTACATTGTAAAAGGTGTTGCAATTTCTCCGATCAAATAGTCATTATGTACATACTTGCACCATTGTATTACGCATCGTCATTTTAACATAAGAAATTATATGTTATTTCATTTTATATTTAGTTCTATTTCACAATTCTACCAACAGTTTTAATTATTTGCTTTTTCAAACCATAAAACTGTATTTATTATTTTGTGCCATTAATTCTTTAGTTACCATACACACCTAATTTACATAATAATGCCTCCTTTATATTTAATGAAGTCATTAATGTATCATCAATGTAAATACTTCATTGTCATGGCGTATCTTTTATTTCTGTCAACAACGATGATACTGTCAACACGAAACTATTTCAATCTTATTACACACGTGAAATTGGCATATCACCAGGACTGTGAGACTAGAAACTAGATGTTCAGGTACTAGACATTTCGTGTAAATACCAGTGTTAGAACTATACTGGATTTTACTTCACTTAGAAGAAGTCACTTTCCATTATGCAACGTTCTAAATATGTACATTTAATAAACAGCACATGTGCACGAGGTATATTATTCTCCGGCTTATTGATTGACAGGTGTACATATACCACGCTGCTCATTGCGCATGTATATTGACATATGCTCATTGATGTACATTTCAGTAGGGACCGTCTTCGTATACGTTAAACTCCAGTTTATCAGTTACACCGTATTTCATATCTTACCTTTGATTTTTAAGACTGTTTCAAACCGCTATATAAGTCCTAGGCTTGGTTCGCTTGAGATGATCTACAGAAAAATAGTACAAAGCTAAGAATTAAAATGCATGTATTATTTTAAAACTGTCTTGCTGTATAATAGTGCATGGCTGTGTACTCTGCTGTTCTACGAGAGGAGTAAGATAGGTCTTATTGTAGACATTTAATTGTATTCAAACTCGAAAGATCGAATAAATATTTTTATGCAAAAATATGTTTTTGTTGAAATGCAATACAGTAAGAAAATGTGATAAAAGATCTGAAACATGATGAAAAATATGTATTGGGGTTTCTGCCTCAGAGTACCTCAGCGTCTGTGAGGGAAGCCCTGAGCGATGTTTCAATTTTGATAGGTACGTACACCCTTCGAGCGCTGGTTTGGTGTTGAGACCAATGATCATAACTGGAACGATTCTGGGATTCTAACACACGATCAGAAGATCCTGCCACAAGATGGCACATAACTCTACAAACTCTGGACCCTTGAGGGCGTCGGAATGTTTACAATTAAGTATTTATAAGGTGTTTGCCAAACGTTAAAAGTGTATGATTACCAGTCGTGGTGGTTGCCTGTGGTGGTGGTACGAAGAGGGTTCCAGAAGGGCTCCGGGGGGGTACTAGTAGGGTTCATTGAGGGTTCCAGAAGGGCCCAATGAGAGCTCAAGAAGGGATCCAGGAGGGTTCCAGAAGGGTTCCAGGAGGGCTGCAGAAGGGTCCCAGGAGAGCTCTATGAGAGTTGCAGAAGGGTCCCAGGAGGGTCCCAGGAGGGTCCCAGGAGGGTCCCAGGAGGGCTCCAGAAGGGTCCCAGGCGAGTTCCATGAGGGTTCCAGAAGGGTCCCAGAAGGGTTCCAGAAGGGTCATAGGAAAGCTCCAGAAGTGTTCCTGAAGGTTCCAATAGGGTTTCAAAAGGGTCCCAGGACGGTTCCAGGATTTTCAAGAAGGCTGCAGAAGGGTCCCAGGAGAGCTCTATGAGAGTTGCAGAAGGGTCCCAGGAGGGTCCCAGGAGGGTCCCAGGAGGGCTGCAGAAGGGTCCCAGGCGAGTTCCATGAGGGTTCCAGAAGGGTCCCAGAAGGGTTCCAGAAGGGTCATAGGAAAGGTCCAGAAGTGTTCCTGAAGGTTCCAATAGGGTTTCAAAAGGGTCCCAGGACGGTTCCAGGATTTTTAAGAAGGCTCCAGAAGGGTTCCAAAAGTGTTCTAGGAGAGTGCAATGCTGACCCTCCTGGACTCTGTTCTTAAGTCACACACTGGCTGTGATTTTCTGTGGTGTCGAGGAGAGATATGAGGCCCGTGTTGTTACTGTGGCTGATGTGCATGTATATAACGTAACAGTTATATACATGTTTATAAAATGCAAATCTCTTGTATATAGATAAGTGTAGCTTAACCCCTTTCAAAAACGATCGCGTTTAGTTCCATCAAGCCTCTAATACTATACTTACTGCATAATGCGTTGTCGTGTGTGACGTCATACAGTTATAGGCCACAAGTATATGTATGAATGTATGCATGTGTGTGTGTGTGTGTGTGTGTGTGTGTGTGTGTGTGTGTGTGTGTGTGTGTGTGTGTGTGTGTGTGTGTGTGTGTGTGTGTGTGAAAAATGCGCGTGCGTGCAGATAGAGGTTTGAATGGCGTCTAACATGTTGTTTTGAATTATTGTAATATTCGGCGTCATGGATACATGCGTTTGCCTGCGCTTTTTGTGTCTGCGTGCGTGTGAGCGCATGTGCGTGTGTCTGCTTGCACTAGTCTGAACAAATCTCGGTGTGATAGTGCAAACCACTGAGACAGCATGCCGTATGTTTGATATCAAGTGGCCGGAGTTCAGACAATATCCAGTCCAGCGGCGGTGGGGTAGCCTTGTGGTTAAAACGTCCACTCGTCACGCTGAAGACCCGTGTTCGAATCCCGACTTGGGTACAATGTGAAAAGCCTATTTCTGATGTCCCCAGGCGTGATATTGCTGGAACATTGCTAAAAGCAGCACAAAATCATACTCACTCTCTCACTCACTCTATCTACCCCTCTACGGATGCCGTATTTACATATAAAGTGAGTTTAGTTTAACGTTACTTATAGCAATATCATAGCAATATCACCACAGGGGACACCAGAAATGGGCTTCACACATAGTACTCATGTGGGGAATCGAACACGGGTCTGTCACGTTGAAAGCGAACGCTTAACTACTAGGCTACCCCGCCGCCCCACTTGATTGGCAAAGGAAACGTTGGCAAACGCCGGATTGAACCCAAACAATATGCCTACAAACTAGTTAAGCCAACAAATGATATATCGTAGAAACACCAATTTTATCTCCAGACCATATACCTAAGGTATTGATGCCATGACACTTCGAAATATACCATAGGTACAAATTACATTATAAACGCAGTTCAGACTTTGTGCAATAAACTCAATATTTACTGTAGGTAAAAGAATTGTATTAATACCATATATCTCACCGTCGTCTAGACTACATATTAATATTTTGACATTTCATAAAACCGTTTTTGACGGGAGCCAGTCAGTGATGTTGTCGTGCCAAGGTCTGCTAATGGGTTATCGTACAGCAGCGCATGGGTACACCCCAAGAGCGACAACGTCTCTTGCAGCTCTTGTTCCATCAGTGGCTGTGACGGCAACGTTCACGGCTCAGGGTATGTCTGTCTTCATAAACTGCTTCTGGTTTGGCTTGAAATCATTAAAACGTATCTGACATTAAATCGTATTACATTTCACAGTCTATAGGCCTTTCCCAGCCAGCAGACTGTGTGTCTATTGTTGTTGGTCGTTAGCATTTGGATGGCGACGTCAGTATTCGATTTCAGTGTTGCGTTCGTAATGTTCATCAACGTATTTCTGTGCTCAACTGATGACTAAGGGGTTTTCCGTTAACGTTGATTCAGCCAGTATTTCAGTTCTAGGAATATATGTCAGGTTAGTTCAGGTTAGTGCAGGTAGCGACTGGTTAGTGAAGCCTACGTGCATAGTTAATATTCTGACATTGTACGGATCATGAGCCTGACTTCCACAACTTAGGGGCGCAACTCTGCACAGCTAATTACAAACATTTGGCATTGCCTTTCAACAAATGGACATGGCTACACTGCTGACAAGAATTATAATGAGCCGGAATGTGGGATTCTAAAACACGATCGTCGAATTCTGGAGTAAGTAAGGGAAAAACTCTTCGCAGTAGATTGCCGTTGTCTTTATGCATCTTTGAAGAAATTACAATATTTATCCAAATATACGTCAACATTCCTCCCACGTATAGGTGAGGTGAAATTGGGTTTTACGTCGTGCTTGAGAATATTTCGCTCATATGACGACGTGCATGCGTGTGTATGTCCCACGTATAGATTTAACGAGGCTCACGTGTCAGGTTATTTATTGACACTATATATACAAATGGCATTTCATCAAACACAATCTGATCGATATATCGCTTGAGACAACGTATCGGTATGGCACCAGCAGATTGCTACCAACAGAAAGGTATCCTATCGGCACCTCGCCTGCGTAGGAGTTTTGCCTCGTCAATAGATGTCACGGATGGGAAGCAATTGCGGCTATTATGTAACATCTGTCGCACAGATCTTTATCTTGTCATGAGGTACAACACACACTTCAAGCATGAGCATTATTCCCGCCAGTCTCCATTATCCACTGAAACAGGTTTCATAAGGCTGAAAAGGCAAAATAGTGGCGACGATTATATCAATTAATCATTGAGAAAATATTATTATTATCGACGAGTTGACTGTCATATGGCACGTTATAATAGGCAAACATGAACTTCAGACATGGGCGATATTCTCGTTGAAGATAAATAACGGGATACAAAGAAAATCTGACAATATGACATATAGATGGAGTAGTGAGTGAGTGAGTATGGTTTTACGCCGCTTTTAGCAATTTCCCAGCAATATCACGGTGGACACCAGAAATGTGCTTCACACAATATTCCCATGTGGGGAATCGAACTCGGGTCTTCAGCGTGACGAGCCAACACTGGGCTACCCAATCCCCCCTTTATACATGGAGTTTGTGCCTTGAAGCCATGTAGGTGTGGCGCAAATAGCAGAGCGAGAGATGAGATTATGATGAAACTTCTTGGCCTCCAGGGGTGTTGGGGTAGCCTAGTGGTTAAAGCGTTGGCTCGTCACGCCGAAAACCCGGGTTCGAATCCCCACATGGGTTCAATGTGTGAAGCCCATTTCTGGTGTCCCCCGCCGTGATGTTGCTGGAATATTGCTAAAAGCGGCGTAAAACCAAACTCAGTCAGTCAGTCAGTCAGTCTGGGCCTCCAAGAGCCCCTGATAGTGTTCGTTAATAGGATCATTAATCTGCATTGCTAGAGTCATTTCGTGAATATCAGAGTATCTTTTACCTGATTCCACCCATGTATTGATTACATACCCATGTATTGATTACATGGAAACCGAAGTCGTAAGTGTCATCAGGAATTGTCTTTATGACTGGAGTCCGTCGCTATCCAGTGCAATAAAGTCTTGTGGTGTTTACAACGCCAGTGCTGACCTTCATACAACATCTTTCCAAAGTCTCATATGAATCCCTAGACTTAAGACAGTGTGTTTCTGAACTGGGGCATTTATCGCTTGTATATAACGCTGTCACGAGCTACAGTATTGTGTTAGCGCTAATCATCCCACTTATGGAACAGCTCTCGCGTGCTACCTTGGTAACGTTAAATCATCTCGTGGAGCAGCCTGAATCTATATTGAACAAAATATCATTCTTTTGTTAAATACATTAATTTTTTAAAAAGGTAGTGTGATAATAATCACGGAAGCTGTATAGATGTATTTTGGAAATAGGAAATCCTAACAGTCCAAGGTCATTGAATTGCGATAGTGGCACACTGGGTGACAATGAATACTGGCGTTGGCTCGAAACAATGGATGTTGTCTTATTCATGTTAAATTTCCTTTTTTTTGTCTCCAGATATAAAGCAGCACACTTGACTAGAGGCGAGCCGTCATTGATACAGGGAATACTGACTTCGATGGCAATTCAAAACACCGCCTGCGTTCATATTCGCTTTATCATGGGTAGCCTAGGGGTTAACGCGTTGGCTTATCACGCCGAGGACCCGGGTTCGATTCCCCACACGGCTACAAGCCCATTTCGCGTGCCTTCCACCGTGATATTGCTGGAATATTACAAAAAGCCTCGAAAAACTAAACTC